CCCCCCCCCCCCCCCCCCCCCCCATGTTTATTGCTACCGCTCTCTAGGGCTGCGCGTGGTGTCCGTGCTGCCGGAGTCGGTGGCGGCGGCGGCGAAACAGCTCAAGCAGCCCGAGGCGTTGGTGAGAGCGAAGGCGGTGTTCGCCGTGAGGGCGCTCGTCGAGGGGGCCGACGGAGTGGGGAGCTCAGTCCACGGGGAGGTGCTCAAGGCCGCGGTTAAGGCCACCGCCGACAGGTGCAGCAGCCAGTCCTAGCCCTACATTTGTTTTGTGGGAGTTTTTTACTTGGTGGCTGCTGGCGGGGGACTAGAGTAAGGCTGTACAGTGTGTAATGTACCGGTTTGTATAGTTGGTGTGCGGTTTGATGAGGTTCGCTGGGCTCTTCGAATCAAAAACACGTCAGCTGATGTGAGTATACAGATTTTGTAAATGCTTCTTTTCGGTTCGTTCAGGTTCGCTGGGCTCTTCGAGTCGAAAACACGTCAGCTGTATGAGCTGTTCGAGCTTGGGAAACGTTGGTGATGGCAGCTGGCAGTTGATCCACACCAACACTAGTGTACTTTTCATGCTGCATCACGTTGGAAAAGGTGGCTACCCCTTCCTTATAAGGCGTTCATTATCAGCTGACCCACCACCACCTTCTTCCGGGGACCCCCACCGAATCGGAACCGGCGCATAGAAGATGCTACTTCTATCATTTCTAATTTGAAGACGACGCAACCGACGCAGGTGTCCAGAGGTGCGCGTGGAAGCCTTCAAGCTATGCCTGTCGCTGGCGGAGGCGGCCCCCAACCTGGCCGCCTCGTCATCCCCTGTCCCCTTGGAAACCTTGGTGGCGTTGTGCGTGAGGGGTTTGGACGACGAGTCTCCGGCCGCCAGGCTAGCCGCGGCGGCCGCCACGGGAGCTGCGCTGTCGGCGGGGGTGGAGGGTAGCGCGGCTGAGAACGAGCGGTTGGGCGTCATCGCGGCGAGAGATCAGGTATGTAAGGGCGGTGAACGGAGACTTGGTAGAATGAGGGTCGCGGTACGGCAATCGGTGCCGCCGCTGCTGCTGGTGTGTATGTCGTGGATCCCGTGCTTGATGGATGAATCTGAATCAGAAGTAGAAGGTTGCAAAGTTTTCCGGTAGCAAGATAGGGGAGAGCCGCAACTCATGTGCGTGTGCATATATGCATGCCGCTTTGCTGCGGCAAATAGTATAGGGATGTACGTTTGATTGTGAGTTTTGGTATCGTCACTCTACACTATCACTGCAGCACATCTCAAACAACGACAGGCACGTCTCATGAGAATTGAGACACACCGCACGTTCAGCTTTCACCCAGAGTCATGTGTTTTTATTTTGCCCCGTTGTAGGTGAACCCGTTGTAGGTGAACAATAAATTGCGTCAGGAAGAATATGCCCATCAAACAGCATCTTGGGGACAAAGTTGGACATTTTTTCGCCAACATTCCGTCGCCAACAAGAGCGGCATTTTTTCCGGTTGTACCGTTTTGATTTTAACACTGCGTTGTGATTCCCTCGTGATATCGTGATATCGTGATATCGTGGTGTTGTGATATCGTGATATCGTGATATCGTGGTGCAGGACCACGATGATGACGACGAGGGTGGTGGAGGAGGCGGTGGCAGTGGCGGGGGAGGGGGCAAAACTTTCGCCAACAAGCTGAAGGAGATGGGGGCAGAGATGAAGGTTGGCATGGCCAAGCTCAATGACAAGAAGGTGACGCACTTCTTGCTACCTTTAGTCTTTTTCGGTGCTTTTCCCCGAACAAATGGTTTTCTTGATGGTAAAACCTCCAATAAATGAGGTTACAGTAGCATTTGAACGCTCAACGGCCACAAGGTGGTGCAAGTTTTGTTTTTTCGTCTCTTTGACAAGTGTGGTTATTTTTGTGTTTGTTTTTGTTTTGGCTAGGAGAGGAACTCCAAACCTAGTCAAGGATATCGGAGCTGACGTCCAGAACATATGGAATGACGACATCTCACCGTCGTACTGTACTGTAGACCGCAGAACACACCTACAGATAACAGTAGCTTTAACTTCTAGTTGTACACAAGACAACATGCCTACATAATTCTGGGCACACGCCACACCATACTATACCCGGTGACATTTTTTTCCGGTCAGGTTGAGCCCAGGACATCAAACTACTCTCAGATCAAGTAATAGGGCGACTCAAGCCACAACAAAACCCCGTTTATTTGTTAGCCAATATGTTGTCACCGGGATGTGCTATCTTGTGTCGTGTACATATTCGGAACCATATAGCAGTACAGTACCTTCGTTGCCTTGGTTTCAATGATGAGGTGCCACCCCAGGTATCACAGCAGGGAAATGCCAAATTCCCCATACGTTGTCCGTTTCGGAAGATAGCCTCACGTTGATGCCGCCGTTGTTACCTTCTGCGGTCCCCCCTCTGTCCCCCCTCCCCGTGTTTGTGTTTGTTTGAGAAGATGCCTGTCCTGGGGGATTCGTTAACGCCTGACAAGGTGGTGCAATTCCTGTCCGAGCTATTTGGGAGAGCCACGGCAGCTGTTGGACAGTCGCAGTCGCAGTCTAGAGAGTACATGGCAGGTGACAAGATAATATGATTGGTTGGGACATCGAGTTCTCCTCGTTGTTGTGGTTGTTGTTATTGGTAGGTGATGGAAATGACGAAATGACTGATGATTTGACGTTAAGACTGATGAAATGGCGTTAAGACTATACTGAGGTAAACGTACACGCTGCTAATGTTGTTGTTGTTGTTCGCTGCTGTCTTTTGAATGAAAAGAGATCCGTCCTTGAACGGCCGCGAAGAGTCACCATCAATGGTGATATGGGTAATGATGGAATATATATTCATATTCGCGTATCATGTATCTTATCATGTGTGTATCGACCTCGACCAATCAGGCGTTGCCGAGGCCTTTGTATGCCTCTGGAGGCGCCCCTACATGCTGCAGAGAGTCAACTCCACCACCGCTCCTAGGCTGGTCGGGGCTGTCCTAGATCTGCTAGACACGGACAGGTTACCCCAGGGGGCGGGGGAGACTGGAGTGGTGAGTGAAGAAACGAAGAAAAAAAACGGAAAAGAGGCGTGTTGAATGCGCTAAATTGATCGCGGAGAGGTTGCTATTGTGTTGTGTGTCTCCTTTTCGCGTGATCGTTCTCGAGCGGACTGGTGCGATTCAAGCTTGGTTTGTTTTCGTTGCTGGTGGTGGCGGTGGTGGTGGTGGTTTTGTTTATCATTGTGTTGCTTGATTTCGTACAATCCGCTTTTGAGTCAGGGTCAGGCCTTCATCACACACAGCGGCCAAAATCACCCTTGCATAGCGCCTACACGGCGATGCTGCAGTTTGTGTTCTTTCGATTGCACGGAGTTATCACTTGTGCCAACATCTTGGTTACACAACGCCTCTTGTCGTTTGAGATTCGTCCTGTTTTTCCGCCACGTTTTTGTGGAGGTGCCCGCGGTGACGGAGTGCAAGATACCATTGCTTGATATTTAGCTTGATACTGTTAACATTTGGCTTGATCCAGCTAACATTCAGCTTGATACAGTTCATATTGAGCTGATACCACTTTCTGGCGGTGGCTATTTGAGATCACATGATGAATCATTCTGACCTTAGTCTTTAGGTAGGCACAAGCTAGCCCAATAATCGTTGAAACAAAATAAACTCCAGACGTACCTCCAACTTTTAAAATATAATGTTTTGTCCACTTCTGGTACCGTGTGTTTGCATAATACAAAAGGTTCGGACAGCGGTGGAGTATATAATTCGTGAGGGAATCAGCGCCCCCCTGCCGGAGCTGTCCCAGCAGCTAGTGGCGAGGGAGATGCTTCAGATCCTGTCCGAAGTGGCTGGGTCGGCCCCTCCTGCCTCCGGATTCCCGCCATTGTACAACGAGCACCAGATACAGGCAAGACAGGAGGAGTGTTGCTAGGGGCAGGGCAACGTTGCCACGTTACCGTATCCCCTAACCGTACCCCAACCCTAACCCTAACCCTGTTGTTGTTGTTGTTGTTGTTGTTGTTGTTGTTGTTGTTGTTGTTGTACTGGTGGTGGTGGTGGTGGTGGTGGTGGTTGACACTGCTGCTGGTGGTGGTGGTGGTGGTGGAGTTAATTTGTTGGTGACTCGGTCCGCTCCTAAACAGTGTCGTCGATTCAGTAGATTGACACCATGGAATTGCACAAGCAGCTTACAAGGTGAGTGATTGTCTCCGTTCGTCTCACCTTGCTTAACCTTGTGAACATGATGCGATGCGGCATCCAAATCCTCAGGTGTGCCTGGTGGAGCTGAGCCACCTGACAAGGGCATTGGGGCAGGCATGCGCCGCGCTCAAGGTGATGAATCATATTGGGACGCGTTTCGTATGTCCGACATAGCCATGCAGTGATCATGTCTGACCAATCCATACTATATTAAAGAGAATGTCCGACAAGCCATACATAGACTAAATCTGACCAATCCAAACTAAGGAGTATGTCAAACAAGCCGTACATTGATTAAGTCTGACCAGCCCATACTAAAGAGTATGTCCGACAAGCCATCCACGTAGATGAGCGGGTGTCGCAAGAGAATTTCCTACAAATCGTAGTTTGCCTATCGACGCGCTCGAGAAACAATACGGCAGCGCGGTAGTATTAATAGTAGAGGTGCCGGTGGCCGGAGGTGTTCCACAGCTTTTCTGTTCTGTTTGGCTCGTCGCGCCTGCCACGTGGTATCAAGTGTTACGGTTTGTCTTGTCGCGTAATGGGGGCGTACTCCTCGAATGTTGGTGTTTTCAATGTTTTCTCTCCCTGTCCGCAGCGCTCGTTGTGGCTTGTTGGCGGTACATCCCGTCACAAAGTTATTGCAACCTCAAGGGCCCCAACAGCAGGATTCGAGCCACGCTCCGCTCACAAACTGATGGGTTTGCTCGCTCGTTTAAGCGTTGGTTTTATCAGTTGCAGAGCGGGCAACACCTGCACTGCCCAAGGTAGCCGGGCACGCACCTCCCGATCCGCCTTTTTTTGTTCCCTGTGGTGTAGACATGGATGCTAGTTAGGCTGCGCGCCTTCGCTGCTAACCCTGCGATATACTTGTGTGCCGACAAACATCACCTTCCCGCAGGACACACTGGCGGATGCTTTGTCGACCCTTCTGGCGCACCCCAGTTACGGAGTCAGGTTCGAGGCGGCCGTGGCGCTGGCATCTCTCGGCTCTGCCCTTCCGTGGTGTGCCGCGGGCTTGCTGCAGCAGGTGCCGTTGGTCACCCCTAGCCTTAGCTTTAGCGTTGGTTTCAGTAACTCTGATGATGGGGCGTACTAGTGTTTTTGCGTGTTAGGTGTTAGACCGTTGTCCACGCGTCCTCGATGGGGGTGGTAGTGGTTAAGTTTCAGTAGATGTCCTCAGGTTTCACCGTTTTTTTTTTTTTTTTCTGGTCATCATTCCGTTTCTTATTCTCATCTCGAGCAAGTTTGTCAAACTACACTACTACTGCTGTTATTCGATGTTACCTTTTGTGTCTGAAGAGCTCCGGTAGGAGTCCACATGAACAATAATTCCTCGCGGTGGTATGCATGCGCCCCTTGTTTTATTTTGTTTGTTTCACTGCGTGGATTTCAAGCGCAAAGTGAAAGGAACATCGGAGTCAAACAGACGACGGAGTGTAGGTTGTGTTTCCTTGTCGGCTTGGTTGGTGTTGTGCTTTCTGGTACAACTCAGGACATTGAGGCACATGTGTTGTTATGATTGTCGTCTTTGTGACGTGTATGGCGCCACTCCACACACCACGGGTAGCTTACAGCAGTCTCCGCGGAGTGTTGCTGTACAATGTACAATGTACAATACACAGCAGTGCAACACGTGATGTACACTTGAACGCGCAACACATTCTTTTCAATACCAACGATTGCTGCCGAATGTAGTGACGTCTAACCATGGAAGCTTCTTGCACCCGCCGCCGCCCCCGCCGCGTGCTCTCTCACCCATGCTGTGCTACCGCAGTGCTTGGACGAGATTCAGCAGCAGTATGATGCTCTCATGGCGGAAGGCATACTTCCGGCCTCCCCTCCGCCATTGGCCATGGGTTCGAAGACTCTGTCTAACCCAGCAGCAGCAGCAGCAGCAGCAGTGACGCCAGATGAGGTGCAGTCGGCGTTGAGCTTGACGGTGGAGGGAGCTCTGGTCGGCGAAGGCGGCGGAGCGACCGGGGAGGGAGAGCCTGACGCGGACCTTGATCTAGACGACGACGGCACGAGGTATGTAGGCTGACCGCACCGACACTGGCTTGGGGTAGGATGCCGTAACGGGTCGTCCATGGACTATCCTATCTCTCATCTCATTCCTCACGACCTCAACAATCACCAACAGCAGCCAGTGCGCTAGTTTGCAACTATGATCGGCCGAAAGTTGTCTTGGGGGCCAGGTTACGTCGAGATGATGGGACACCGACGACGCAGCCAAGGATACCGCAGCATGCACCAACCGGGCTCTCAAACTTTGGGAGGTCGAGCAGCATGTCTACAGTGGCCAGTGGGATAACGTCTCTCGCCGCCAGGGTTAAGCTCAAACTGGTTTGGGTAGTTCGGAGCTTCGGACTAAGGTTGATAATCCACTATCGATTAGCACAGGGAACTTGCGGGCACGAATCTTCCGAGCTTCAACAACCAACAACCATCATCATCATCATCATCAGCGAGCTCTAGCATTGACAGCAGTGCGCTGCGTGTTTGCAATGGCAGCAAGTGCGCTGTCTGTCAGCAACCACGCCGAACTATGTCTTTCGGGTTGAAACCGGACCACTGAACAACGCACTTACTCCACGCAAACCTGTCGTTTCTATTTAATCCCGCCGCACACAGCGGAGTCGCCACCACGGGGGTTTCAGCCGACGCAGGCGGTGGGTCTCCGGGAGACGGGAACGACGACGGGGTGATGGTCGGTGCCGCCGCCGGTGGTGGACTCGGGGGAGAGGTAGGCGCGGGCGGGCTAGGAGGCGGCCCCAGGAGGAGCGGCGGCGGCGGTGGCGGCGGGCGGTCAACGGTAGCGTCGAAGCGGTTGCGGCTGCTGCTGTTGCACGGGAACTCGTCTGCCGCATCGCTTCTTCTACAGGTTGGCGCTACGGTTAGGGTTGTCCTGGTGTTTCTGCTGCGTTATTCTGTCCCAGGTGACGGTAGACGCGAATGCGGACGCCTGCGTAGGTGTGCGATGATCGATTTTCGAAGCGTGATTGCCAGAAGCGCCGCGGTTAAATTTTCGTGCATACTGCTACCCGCCGCGACGCCTCGCGTGTGATTTTTTGGGTGGGGACAATAATAGGTGGCGAAGGAGCTCCCGATGGGCATCCCATCCAAGGTCGCCGAGAACTCCTTCATCGCGGCGGAGAAGCTCATTCGCGTGCAGTTCCCCGCCGGACTCGAGCACGCCGCCGCCACCAGCGCCACCCCGAGTAGCAACAATTCCCCCACCGATCCTGCGGCGGGCTCACCCTCCGCGGCCGGCCGCAGCGACGGCGATCTTCCGGAAGGGGATGCGGGTTCATCTTCCGCAACAGCAGAGGCGGAGGGGGCCCCGCGGGAGGATGCAAGTGGTGGTGGCGGAGGGAGAGGGCAGCAGCCTATGGGGGTGGTTTGCTCGTGCGTCCGGACGGGGTGGAGCTTGATGTCTTCGCTGTTCTGCGTTGGAGAGGAGGTTTGTCGATAACCTGACAGTCCCGTGTGCCGTGATTTGCCCACCTGACAGTCTTGTTTTGCCGTGGTGTTCTTGCGTGACTGTCTCGTTTTGCCGTCGCTCGTACCTGATAGTCCCTTGGCCTAAAATGGCCGGTATTGATTCTACATTGTAGACGGGCCGGTTTGTTCACGCCGTGGGGGGTTACAGTAGTTCTTGTGGTGATACCGGACACGGGGTTCGGCCGTGGAGTCAACATCCCGGAGGCATGTTTTTTTCAAGAGCACCGTACGCAGCTCTTGCTTAAAGCGTGAGAGACCTCCGTACGCAGACAAGAAATAACGCACCAGCGATGAAAAATTGGCTTTTAATAGCACGCTCGTTTCAGTGTTTGGTGGTCTTGCACTTTCATGTTGTACGGAAACGCTGTGCACGGTGCTGTTGCAGATGTTTGTGGTGTTCCGTTTTCGTGACGCATCTCGTTTTCCAAGGGTCAGTCGCCACTTTCTTCTTTCTTGCGGCCGGCGAGCAACCGTATGGTGTGGTCTGGTATGCCTGCGTGGAGTGCGTCATGTTGCAGCAGCATGCGCGGCTTCTTCAACTCCAAGATGGTCGTTCGCGGACCATCAGGGTCGTCGGTCGTCCTCCGTCCGAACTGCACCCCGAAACGCTTCTGACCCCCGACATGCGTGGGCGCGTACCGCTGTGTGTGGTGTGTGTGTGTTTTATTGTTCAATTCGTTCAGTGGGCCGAGGGAAAGGCGGAGCGCCTGATGGAGCTCTGGGCATCGTGCATGAGAGGGGCTGGCGCCGGGACTGTGCCTGCAGTGGCAAACCTCAGGTACTTGCATAACGCTTAGAAGTTCAAAACCTGACCATGACAAAATGTGGTCCGTTAAGAAGCCTACGCTGCGACCACTAGTCGCTGTCGGGCTACCTATCCCACAGGGGAAGTTTGATTCGATCCTCAAAGAAAGGAAGACGTTGGTGAGTCATTGCGTCTTCTGAAGGTTTCACGTGGCGCGCTGTGGTCTATCGTGTGGTGTTTTGTTGTATATCATTACGCGTTTGAGGTTCGCATTGCTTTTCCATCATGTGGCGTGGCGTGATGTGCTCTGGTCTGTGGTGTTTGGTGCGGTATGATTTCCATTCCGCATTTGACGTGCACATTGCTTTCCCCTCATGTGCGCCCGTGGTGTCATGTTCTGTGGTCTGTGATGTTTGGTGCGGTATGGCTCCATACCGTATACCACATTTGAGGTGTACATCGCTTTTCCCCTCATGATGATGATGATGATCCGATGAAATATGGTACCTTATCAGGGGTCTGGACACCGCACACGAGCTGATCTTGCTGGACGCGTCGACTCGAGCATTGCTGTGGTTCCTCAGGTCCTGTCCCAACACGCTTTGCATGGTGAGCTAGAATAGCCTCGTTTTAGATAGATTCTTCGAATGAGAGCTTTGCATGTGTGTGTGTGGGTTTACTTCGTGTGTCAGCTTTTTGCTAGCGTGGCCTTCTTTGGCTCGGTAGGTTCATGTTCAAGAGGACCATAGGCGAGACCCGTTATATGGCTGCTTGAAATGAACTAGCTTTTAGGGGGGTGGCAGGCATCTAACGCTAGCGGTGTTTTCGTGGGTTTTCTTTCTCCTACTTGAAATTTCTTGCCAACACGCCATGCTTGCCGGTCGCAGGCCCCAGACAGGTTAGCTCTTGCGCTAAGCCTCATGGAGTCGGCGGTGGACGCGGTGGAGGGAAGGCTCAAGTCGCCCACCAAGAAGCAGGGCGTGATTTGCCGCACGCTCCTGAAGGCCCTGCTGATGGAGTGCTTCGCCTGGCTCCCGCCGGGCAGCTTTCCGGGATCGAGCACACGCCTCTTCAAGGTGATGCCCTTGAGACTTCCGGTTCCGTTGCTCCGACCAACACGCACACACATGCGTTTGTTGTTGCTGGTGTCGTTGGTATTTCCGTCGTCGTGTTTATTGTCATTGCAGGTGGAGATGGGGGTGGAGTGTGTGTTTTGTTTGTCGTACTTGTTCGATTATTTTATCTGTTCAACCTTAACCTCTCTGCGGTTCATCCTCTTCCGCCGCGCCGTGAGCCCCATCTTTGATGCCCTTCGTACACGTGCCCCTCTTACTGTTCCGAACCAAGGAAGTGGACTTTACATGGTACACGTCAACCCTGTACCTGGTACCATAAGCATGCCAATGATTATGATGTCGACCTAGAGAGTCCTTCCCTTCACGACCAGATCCAAACAGACAACTTTTGAGTAGCTGGCCAATCTGCGCCGTTGGTGCGTCCAACATCAATTGAACGCCTTGCCCACTCCTGCGTCTTGTATCTGCCTTCGCTTCGCTTTTGATGTCGTTGCAGTGGTCACTGGATCACCTCAAGATGTATACGCTTAACGACGTTCAGTCGTCTTTGCTGCCCGAGCTGCTACACCCGGACGATGCCGTCCTGAGCGTCGCCAGTTCTGCCAAGGTGGGCCATCACTCCCTTCCCCGTCCACTTTTTCTTGAAACCGTCATCCGTTTGCCTCTCGCCTACCGTCAAGTCGGGGATACCACTCGGGTGTCAAATTGCTTCTCTTGCTTGCAAGTCAAACTGTCGTCGTGATGCGGAAGCCCGTCACGCCATTCCTCGTTCAGGCGCCAATATAATCCTCACCTTGTCCCTAACCCCAACAATCCCTACCCTAACCCTAACTGTCCCTAACCCTAACTAACCCTAACTAACCCTAACCCTAACCCTAACCCTAACCCTAACCCTAACCCTAACCCTAACCCCAGGTGCCGACGATGTCTGGGGTGGGAAGCCTCGTTGAGGCGGAAGATAGCGACAGGGTTCTCGCACAGGTCGCCCTGGTCTCGGGAGTCACCATAGGGCCTCAGGTGCTCTTTCCTCTTCTCCTCCTTGCTTTTGTTGCTCTTTTCGCTCGCTGACACATGCGTACATTTTGCTGTGTGTGGCCACGAATTGGAGCTCCTACATTGCAGAAGTGCTGTGCGTGTGAGAGCTGATTGAAAGTGATGGAACAAATACGTAAAGTTCTTATTTATGACATTAGGGGGAGGGTCAGAGGGTTAGATTCTTATGTATCCGGACGCCGGCAGCATTTGTATGCAGCAGTGTCTACATCCGCGATCTGTACATGTTCAACAGGGAGAGTTCAGACCTGCCTACAGTGCTTACTCCCGGCAGTCACCACCGGAGCCCAACTAACATATATCCAGCAGGTGGGTTGCAAACGAGCAGTCACAACTCACACAACAGCTGTTCTTGATGCTTCTCAAGGCACTAGCAACTGCTGTGCTGTCGCTGAGCTCTACTATTGAGCGTGTCCGTCTATTCCTTTCGCACCTTACCGGCAAGCCTTGTGCCGGTTGTATCCACTACCTATTAGCCCAGATTTCCAACTACATGGTGGCTTTTCCCTTTCGCACTCTCCGCAGTACATGTATTTATCACTCACACAACTCCTTTCTGACAACGCGGACCGTTTCTACGCGCACCCGAGCCTCTCCTGACGCAAACCACACAAATTCGTGCGACCCCCGTCCGCTGCGGACATATTCGGTGGAAATTTGCCTACCGTCCCACGTTTTTTTTGTGTACCAGGAGCGCGATGCGATGGTCTGCAGTGCAGAAGTGTGGGCCGGGAGGGGCCCCTCCCCCTCACGAAAACGCCGCGAGTTGGAAAACACCCCGCCCACCCCGCTTCACGCCTCATTGGCGGGTCAAAACCCACCTACCTCGGTAGGGTTTTCGACGGCGGCGGGTGGGGGCGGGGGCGGTTGGAGACGTCCCCTGCCCTCGTCGGCCTCGATCAATGTTCGTCTGCTGGATGCGGCGGTCCAGGTGTTTGCCGCCTCTTTCGGGCAACAGGTAAAATATGCGTGTATGAGACTTGACTTGTGTCGACCTCGTGTTCGTTTTTTTTTGGAGTCGCTGTGATTTTCTGTGTGATGTTCTCCTGTTATTCCGTTGCTCATGTTTTCCGTATTCTTTTGTGAGCTTGACCTTGTTTTCCTTCCGTTGCTGTTTTCTGTCGGGGGGTGTTGTTTTGCTATCCTTTCTATGGCTGCCATGGTAGCAACGCTGCCGTGCCTGTTGCCCTTCACTTTTGACAATCTTCGTTGCCTTGGTAATCGATGTTGCTCACCCGTTGTCTGTGTGCCCGGTTGTTGCTGCAGACGGAGGAGTCTAAGCTGGAGGGGGTTTCAGGCCTTGTGGAGGCGTTGCCAGAATATCTTCAGGCCAAGGCCAGGGCCAGTGCAGGCGCTTCGAGCTCCTCGAGGGGCAGCAAGAAGGATGCATCGTTTAGCATGCCGGTATGACTAAACCTCAAGTACCCTATATTGCCGCCCTTCAAGTGCCCGACAAACGTGACGCAAGGTACTGTACGGGCTCTTTCGGCAATGTTCTTGAACACGAATGTACTACACCTGTGTTTGTACGCCTTGCCGACAGAGTAATATGCACTATTTCGGCAACGTTCTTCAAAACAGTGTACACCTATGTCCACCATGGTATTGCACGTCGTGACGTGATGCTGCATTTACGCGACTGCTGTACTTAAGCAGGGTCTGTTGTCCGACGACGACCGAAGAAAGAGGGACAGGAAGCACCGCTTAGCTGTGCTCAACGTCTGCTCGGGACTGCTGGCCGCACTCAAGTCGATGCCGGCCATCGAAGAGGAAGAGGCCAGAGGCAGTGGCAGCCCTATCCGCCATAACCTGCCTTGGGTCACGCTCGCCAGGTGCATTTCTTGTGGTTGTGTTGGGCTTACGATGATGACACATAATTGTTAGTTCGGTTTGACGACCTGCCCTCCGGGCCCCCTACTGTACATTTTTTAGGAAGTATTGGTCCTTTCACTGAAAGAGAGAATACCCGTTGGAGATACATATAACAAAAACGGTCTCTCTTAAGGCGACGGGTTGGCGTCTTTTCAGCGAGCATTAACATGTGTTGTTTGTGTTGTGTGTTACCTTCTACATTTTGTCAGGGACGTTCTGCTGGAACTGCTGTCCTCCGACGATAGCATGGCCAGGAGGGCTGCCGCCGAGGGTTTGGCTCTCATGGGACTCAAGGTCGGCGACGGGTACGCCGTCTACCTGATCCAGGTGACCACATGCACCAAGGATCGCTCATCACCGACTGTGTGTTGAGGAATGGCTTACGATAGGAGGCGTAGAATCGTGTGTTGAGCAATGATAGCTCATTTCAGGCTGTGTTTTGAGGAATGATGGCGCATCACCGGGTGTGTTACGGAATGACACTTGATATGAGGTGTAGAAAAGGCGGCCGGCAATGCGGATTAAGGTCACTCGTGAAAATGTTTTACTTCATGTTTTGTCTTCTTCGGAGTGGATCACTTAAATTTTTGGAGTATTGGATTTGACGAGGCCTCCTGGCGCGGACACAAAGGGTACCCCCGCACCGGTGGTGAGAGCTCTCGCAGCGCCGGGGGGGCATGTACACGAAAAATGTCGCAGCACCAAGTGTTG